GACCGATATTAGCCTTCGACGTCCCTCAAGAATAAATATATTATATTTGAGCATAGCCCCGACCCGAGTGTTTGCGGTCCTCTCTTTTCGGATTTTTTTCGTATGTTTTATTGGAATTTTTTGGCAAAACACTCGCGCCCCTTTTTTCGGGATCTTCCCGAGATTTTGATAATTTTCTTGGAATTGTCATTTATCGATTTTTTTTCAAGTTTTCCGTCGTGGGTCATTTGTCGATTTTTTTTTTAGTTTTCCATCATTGATCATTTGTTGATTTTCTCGAGTTTTTCCAGGAAATGTTTCTTTTATTTATGCAGTAAATACTAACTCGCTTAAAGGAGCAGCAGACCCCCTAGTTTGATCTATATTACACCATTTTACTTCACAGCATATTATCTGTTCTTCATTATTGTGCATTCTACTGTTCTTTTCTTTTATATAGCATATTATACTGTTCTTCTTCTTTACTGTACATTCTATTGTTTTTTTTTTCTTTTTTTTTCTTTTATACTGCACTTTTATACTGCATGTTTTATTGTTCTGTTGCATATTATACCTTAGTGTAGGAAAACCTAACGACACCTGTACCCCTTTAAAACTAATATCAAACCCGAAGATGCTACGAAGGGGAGCTTGGAGCGAACACAGTGGGCAGCATGACGAGGACATACGGAGGAACCACTTCAAGATGGATTTACAACATCAAAACAAATTCATATCACTAACCACTCCTTAGTTTAAATAACAACCCATAAGATTTTGAGGTGATTTACCTAGCGCAGCATAAACCCTCACATCACTTTTAGGCTTTTGCATAACTCTGATGTACAATTATAAGTCCTAACACTTTAGGATTCTGATATTACTGTACGGTACAGTGTAAATTCTTCTAACTTTTTAGGCTATTAGCAATATCAGATATCGTGCGAACATAAGTCCTAAATTCTAAATAAATTGTAGGATTAAACATTAAATAACAGTATTTCAAAAACATAAAGTCATCCAATAGGATAGTTAGGAAATCACCAGGGTTTTCCCTGAATCTATGATATCCCCTACTCTTCATTCATTTGGATTCCGTAAAATAAATGTTCCTGTTTGAGTCACTCCCATTTGATTTTCCCATGTCCAATTGTAGAAACTTAAACTTTGAAATCTTAAAGGCATAATCACTGATCTTAATCGAGATTTTTCTAAAGTAACTTCGGTCATTTAAGATGTTATTAACTATAGGGGATTGTCTCTATAGAAAACTTGGAACTCATATAGAATAAACACTATTTAATCTTTATATTAGGTAGGGAAACTTGTTGGCCTCATATAAAAATATTTCGCAGACCAAACGGATGTCACAAATTCTTTAGTTTAGGTGATTGAGTCTACTACAAGTGATATGTTTATTCTTCGGGATAAGTATATTACTTGTGGTATTGTGCTCAGTCGTCAAAACTATTCAGAATATGAGACCCGTTTGGTCTCATCTCTTTTCAAAAATTTAAAAAAACATATATTACTTTAAAAAAAAATCAAAATCACATATTTATATTTAAGTTATTTTCATATCTACAAAATTATCTCTTTTCCAAACCAGAAAATTAAAACGGCCGACAGTCCCACGAGCTCTTCTTTTCTTCTTCTGCACCTGTAAAAGTTTATGAGAGGGAGCTTCTAAGGGGTTACGAAAATTCAAAACTTGGGGGAGGCTCTGCCAAAAATTTCTTCTAGGTTAGGAGCTTGTGGACTTGTTGTTTGAGAATTCTTTGACTTTCTTTTGTTGTTTGAAAGAAGCTCGGGCAAGGTACTTTCTCTTCTCCTCCTATGTTTTCTTCTCTGCCCGACAGAGGCTATTTGTTGTTTTCTTCTTTGCTCGACAGGGAATACATGCATGCGAAAGTTTAATTGTTCGGCCGATACATCATGCTGAGGTTGCTCTTTAGTTGTTAAGTTTTTAATGTTTCTTTGGCTTTAGTTTAAATGTTGCATATTATTGGGTTTGTTTTAAATACTATAAGATATTTAGCCGGAAATGTAAACTCACGAAAGGCACGATTCAATTCTTGTGCATGTGCAAGCTTCTTCCTTATGTTCTTATCACATTTGTACTTGTATGTTGAAGTTTGAAAGTTATTTTAGCCTTGTGGGCTGCGATTTTCCTTGCTAGACTGATTTAATGTTAAAACTTCTGAAATTTTATTTTTGGGGAAGGAAGGGCCTTGTTTGGTTTTGCTCTTTGTTGCTGTCTTCTCTGTTTGAAATAAACGTGTAGCTAAAATCTATTTTTTTCTTTTTTTGAGGCTTTGTGGAATTGGTTTTGGAGGCCTAGCTTTACTCCCTGTTGTTGCCTCCCAATTTGAAATACATGTTAAATGGAAAATTTGGTTTTTAAAGCTTTTTGGAGCTTGTTTTGGGGGCTTGATTTTGTTCCCTGTTGTTGCCTCCCTATTCGAAATATATGCGAGATGAAATAATTGGTTTCTTGGAGGCTTTTCGAGTTTGCTTTGGGGGATCGGTTTTAATTCCCTACTATCTGAAATATGAATGTGTTGTTTCTCTTTTGTTTTGAGGTTTTTGGAGAGCTTTGTGTTGGGGTTTGCTTGTTCTACTGCCCCTACCTGAGAATGTTTATATGGGTTTTCTTCCGTGGGCTTGGGGTTGTCTTGCTGCTCCTACCCGAGAGCACCTGGATTGTTTTTTATTGTTGGGGGTTAGCTTACTGCCGCCCTTTATTTGAGAATTGTTGGTATTTTTGTTGCTATTGAGATGTCCTCCCTGCTTCCCCTGCCCGAAAGCTATTCCTACCCCTGGCCATGGGAATTTTGTGATGCTTTTCATTGAGGTGTTGCCACGTGTTGAGTGTTTGTTTAGGCTGGCCCCCTAACCGTGAGCACGACAACAATATCTAGGATGTCTCTTTAGAGTTAAGGTCCGATCGTATAATAGTTGGGAAGTCAACAGGGTTCCCCCTGAATCTATGACATCCTCTACATTTCACTCCATTGACTCCTGAAAATAACTATTCCTATTTTAAGTCATTCTCACTTGATTTCCTCATATTTAACCTTGGAAACCTAAACTTTGAAATCTTGAAAACAGAACCATTGATTTTAATCGAAAGTTTTCTTAAATGATTTAAGTCATCTAAGATGTAATTAACTATAGCGGCTTACCGCTATAGAGAACTTAATAACACAACTTAATATAAACCCTATTTAATCTCCTGTATTAAATTGAGGAACTTGTCGGCTCATAAAAAATGATTTCGCAGACCAAACGGACGTCACAAATTTTTTAGTTTAGGTAATTAAGCATACCAACAAGTTATATGCATATCATTCATAATAGTGTACTACTTGTGGTATCGCGCTCAGTCATCTAAAATATCAAATATGTGAGGTCCATGCGGTCTCACTTTTCAAAAAAAATATTATTTTCTGAAATTATAATCATATATATATATATAT